AAGCTTTCTCCCTTTTTATTGTATCTTTAATTAATAGGATTAGTTGTGTCCTAACCGGAAATGACAAGGCCTTGAAGTTCCTCCTGACCATGAAATAATCTTGATAGGACTTCTGTCATTGTTTTTCTAAGCATGATCTCTTTTCCTTTAATTTGACCCTCCTGTCTTTACTTCATCACTGAGAATTAAGGATTCTTTTGCTAATGTCAGGACTTTGCAATGACCACGTATTAATTATCTTTGTCCCTTAGCTTTTTGATTCAATTGTTCCTGATCCAAGATAGGAGACTAACCTTTCTATAAAGTCAGGCTCATTGTATTTCTCCAATAGCTTATCAGGTCTCTGTGGCTCTCATTTGGCACAAGTTTCATGTCAGCCCCTGGGTTTATATTCAGCACACTCACGATGTCTCAACATCTTCTTAGTGGACTTCAATGCCAGCCAGATTATACCCCCAACATGCTATGTTAATTCTTTCTTTACCAGAAATGGCTTTTCTTTTCTTCTCTACTGAAGTAGTCACTACCTATCCTTCTCAGACTATATCCCATATTTTTCACAAAACCTTCCATGACCCACCCTTCCATGTCAGGGGGCTCTTTAATATTCATCTGTGTGTTCAGATAACTATTTTAGAATTTTAAAACTAAAATTCTACTCTAAAAGAAGGTTAAAGCCATGGTAAAAATATACTTATATATATATATATATAAAATGAGGATTAAATAAAAACATGGTAACACCTAACATAATATTCAATGTATTAATAACAGATGCTAAATAAATTTTTCATTCATTTGTAAGGATTTAATAGAGAACACACTCTGAGGCTGGCATTAGTTAGGTTCTGAAAAGACAGGTGTCAGAGACACATTTTTCTGCCCTGAGGGAACTCATCGTCTATGACAGGCTATGTCATAGAGACAGGCATATAGGCAATTACATTGCAGTGTGAAGATCGTACTTTATATGTAGGTACAAGGTGCTAAGTGAGAAGAGGGAAAGAAGTACCTAACCCAGGCTACAGTGTCAGTTAAGCATCCTTGGAGAGGTTAGGTGGACTGGCTCCTAAGGGACTGTAGGGCTAGAATGTAAGAATGGATGCAACAGTAAGGAGAGAAACGGGAGTCCTATCAATGAAAACGTATACAAAACAGAGAAAGCAGGTTGCTTTTGGGAGTGTGCAGATCCTGTGGTAGGGCTGATGCAGAAGCCAGTGGAGAATGGAAGAGGACAAACAAAGGAATTTCTGAGACAGAACCCTGGAACCCACCTGCATTTAGGGTGGTAACAGAAGAAACAATCTTTAGGTATTTGAAAGATGAGGATATGAAAATGGAGATACATTTATTCTCTAAAAAACTAATAACCACAACCAGAATCAGTTGGTGAGCGCCAAAGAAATAAAGTCTTGGTTGAGAATAATAAAGTGTGTTCTAGTAACTGAAGTCATACAGCAACAAACAAAACATGATAAAAACAACAATATTCAATAAGTTGTTTATAGGATGTCCATAGCAATATTGAAAATAGGTTCCTATTATTTTTCAGATATATGAGAGAATCCAATTTAAGCAGTATGAATCTCTTCTTTTGTTGGACTAGAATAAACTTTCTTCTGAGGCTGTGAGCATTCCAGACCAAAGCAGTTAAGCAAAGGCTAGACTACCTCATTGTATGTCTTTCTTTATCTTGCACTGTAGCACAAAGTGTATACACAACTTGCCATGTACTGCCTAGGAACATTAGTTATAATTTCTTGATTTTGCAGTATCTCTGCAACAATATTTTAAGTTCCTCAAAGCAGAGGCATTATACCTTCATCTTCACAGGTTCCTTATAACTTAACTTTCTATTAATTATTGTTATATATTAGTCACTTAACTCTAAGGTGCTCTTTGTAGGTAGGCAATTAAAAATCTAACAGCCTATCAGAAAGGAACAGAGAGAGAGAAAAAGAGAGAGAGAGAGAGAGAGAGAGAGAGAGAGAGAGTGAAACAGTTCTAAATACATCAACACAAGAGAAAATGTCCTAATAATGGTGGTTGAATGAACTCCTTAATAACAGACTTTCTCTTAGTGTCTGTATTCCCAGAACCTAGTTAACTGCATGGGTCCAAGCAAGCCCTATACATGTCTGTTGAATAAATGAAGGAATGAATGGATGACTAAATGAACAGTTATTTAACCCTATGTTGAGAGGACAAAAATATTTGCTTCAGTTTTCCAGTGCCATCTTAATGTATATTTTGCCTATTTTTTAATGTTCTTGTCTTTACCATAGTTCTGCTCTCTACT